CCCCCACCCCGCCGCCCCCACTGTGCGGATCCTGGTTCCGCCTCACCTGCTGAGTGCCGCCGAGCCAGTCCCTGCTCCTCGCTGGGCCTGGTCTCCCGGCAAAATGCAGGCCCCTCTCCCTGCTCAGGGGAGTCTGCACCATCCACCACCCTCCCTCCCTACTGCGACCCCGGACAGGCGAGGGACCACACAGTGGGAGCCGGGAAGGCAACTGACCCTTACCATGTGTGACGAGATCTGCTACTTCCTACTCTGTTTCTTCTTGTCTAAATGCCGACTGTGACTCAGCTCAGTTAAAAGGCCAACTAGATTTCACGACTCACAGAAAAGGTCCAGGGCCTTAGTGCACAGCATGGCTCCGACCTCCAGCGGCCTCGGCCCTGTGCCGACAGTGCGGGCGGCTTCTACCCAGGGAGCCGCTGAGGACCGACTCTCAGATTTACTCTGAGTCTGAAACTTAGGAGGAAATTACATTTTAGCCATAAGTAAGACAAAGGTGATGCTGTGCCTGCCGTCGGCCACTGGGTCAGACGGCCACATGTGGGCGGGCTGTGTGCTCAGGAGAGGGCGAGGCTGCACGGTGAGGGCTGGAGGCTGGCACCCTCACCTGGCCGGTTGCTTAAAGTCACCGTATGTGCCACAGTTCTCCTTGCCCAGATTGTTGTCAAAATATCAGTGTATTTAACTAAATTTGTGTCAGAAAACAGATAAGTGATCTCAAAAGAGTTTACAAAGAAACCACATTTTGTACAGAAGAATAAAGCGAATGAAAGCAGACAGGAGGCATCAACAGAAGCGACACTTCTACCACTAATATAAGCTCAGCAACCACCTTGCACGGTGCAAACCTTGACATTCTAATCGGATCCGATAAGAAGGTGGCCAAAATTTGGAGATCATGGAAAAAAAGAGCATCTGGCCTCCCGCTTCCGGCCAAGGGTTAACCGCTCTGGGAACTGCTCTCTCACTGTCAAGAACTAGAAAACCAGACAAAATATATGAAACAACAGTTTCCAGCCACTGGACAATAGCACGAGCCCCTGGTCCCTGAGAAGAGGGAACGAGGTGAGGTGAGCCCCGCGGTCGCCTGGGTTCTGCCGGGGGCCACTCTCCAGGCTGCGATGCACGGAGGGGTCCAGGCTCCAGCAGCCCCTCTGAGTCTCCGAGTGGAGCCCGCTTGGTTCGGTGGCTGGAGTTTGCGGGCGGAACGTGAGCGAGGATGGTGCTGCTGGGGGCGGGGCCACGAGACCCCCCGCTCAGAGGCTCCGCAGGGGCCGCTGGGCCTGCGCGGGGGGCATGCGCCAGGCTGCGGTCGGTCCCCGGCTCCCAGCGGGGCTGGAATACTGCGCCCCCACCAGCTCGAGTGGGGGGAGCTCTTTGTGCCCAGGGCCAGCGCAGTGTGGTGTCCTCGGTGGGGTGTCACCTCTGTAGTGGGGATAGATAAATGCTGAACAGCCACAACGATCTGAAAGCCTGAGACTACAGCCATGCTGCCCTGAGCGAGCCGATCCCATCTGATCTTGGATAGGAGGCTACCTAGGAAGGCCAGGTGCTGTAGGCGTAAAAAATCAATAAAATAAATAATAATAAGGGATTGTAAGCTGACAAGGTCCTTGCAATCTGTGAGGTCAACCGAGGGTTGCCTCGCCTAAAAATATATATATATTTTTACTGATCCTAAGTAATTTAGCTGTATGCCAGAATAAAATCCAGCACAGAACCCAGGAACCCAAAATATACAATAAAAAATTATCAGGCATAAAAAGAATTAAGATATGACACACAGCCAGAAGAAAAACAGATCAATAAAAACAGTGCCAGAAATGAATGAATCAGCAAATACGGATGTTTAATTGCCTGCGATAAAAATGTTCCATGTGCCCACAGCTGCTATGGGAAACGAGCATGAGAAATAGGTAAGAAAGAAACTTCTAGAGGTGAAAATATAATGTTTGAATTTTAAAAATACCATGGATTGAATTAACAGCAGGTTAGACGCTGCAGAAGGAAATATCAGTGAACTTGAAGAGAAAAACAGAAACAACTCAATGCGTAGCAGAGAGAGAGACGGAGAGAGGAACAGCCCTTCAGTGACCTGTGGAGCAGAGTGTCCTGGGGCGGGGCGGGGGGTGCAGAGTGTTTGAGGAAACGCTGCATTTGATGAAAACTAAAACCCCACACATCCAGAAAAAGCATGAAGAAAACCACACAAAGCCACATCACAGTCAACTTGCTGAAAACTAATGACAAAGAGAATCTTACAAGCAGCCAGAGAAAAAAGACACCCTCAAAACAGAAACAGGGTGACAGCAGAAGTCCTGTCAGAGACAGTGGCCTTTAAACATGGAAAGAAAACCACTATCGACGTAGTGTACGCCCAGGAAAACTACTTCCCATGACGACGGTGGAACAAAGGCGTCTTCAGACAGCGAAAACAGAGACTTCATCACCAGCACGTCCGCTATAAGAAACGTTCAATTCTTCAGACAGAAGGAAGATGGGACCAGAAACGGGGCCCACACCAAGGAATGATGAGTGCCGGGAATGGCAGATACGCCGGCATGTGTGGGACTTTTTACCTTTTCACCTCTTTGAAGATATTCATAAAAACAAAACAAGAGCTACATATTTGGGGTTTATAGCGTACATGGAGGTATAATACGCTTAGGGCAGAGTGTGCCAGATGAATGGCGTGAGAGACGAATATTTTTGGCTTTACCGTCACAGCTACTGAACTCCGTCAATGGAAGGCAGAGCAGCCAGCCACAGACGACACGTGAAGGAACAAAACCGTCTCTGCTCCGATGAAATTTTATTTTAAAAAATTGGTCGCAGGCAAGAATCGGTGCGTGGGCCAGTCTGTCAACCTCCGGATGAAGGACAGGAAGAGGGAGCAGGAGCTGGCGGGCCCTCCGTTGCATGTGAAGTGGAACGGAGGGCGTCTGTGACCCTGAAGAGAGAGACAAGGGACGTCTGGGGCGACGGATGTTCTGATCCAGACTGGTGGGGTCTCACAGATCGACGTGTGTGTTAAAATCCATGGACGTGCCCAGCAAACAAAAGCCAACTGTGCCGTGTATTAATTTAACAGATACATTCCGAACCTGCACGAAGAAACCCAACGCTGGACGAGGAAGAGCAGTAGGTTGGCCAAGAATCACCAACGGGCACAGCTACGTCCCTCTGAGACAAACTGCAGCTCGAGGAGCACTGAGGGCTGAAGAGGGACCTCGGAAGATGACAGCAGGGTCAGTTCATCGTCAGCTCTGAACCTACAATCAACATGAACCCAAACGCCAAGCAAAAGCTGACAGACGCGCAGAGAAACGCAGGCAGAAAACGGGGGCCAGGTGGCCGGAAGTCAGTAAGGACAGGAGACACCCCCCTGCCCCCCCCACCCTGTCGCTGGCCTGCCGGACATTCACACGCAAGTCCTTTCCAAGGGCTCCGGGGCACCCCAGGTCGGCCGCCCTGCAGGCCATGGCACAGGCTCACTAAACTGAAAAGGGCCAGTGGTCTCTGACCGCAGATGAATTAAACCAGAAAAATACAACAGAAAGGTATCTGGAAAAGCCCCGAGTTTTACTAACAGGTGCGTGGGCAGAAGCATCTCGAGGCCTCGGCCTTCCTGGGCCTTTGGCACACGCCAAGGGCCCGTGGTCACCCCGGCGGCCGTTCTGCTCCAAAGAGGGGGCGCGCGGGTGCGGGGCGGCAGGAAAGCAGCTTCTGCGCAACAGGCCTCAGGCTTCAACCCCGCTCGGCCCCGAGAACAGAGGTGAACCCCGCGACGAGTGCCGCCGCCCCAGTGACCACTGTCTTTCTTGCAGGAAGCCCCCTGGTGCCCGACGCCTGCCTCTCGGCGCCTTGCCAGAACGGGGGCACCTGCGTGGACGCAGACCGGGGCTACACGTGCGAGTGCCCCGAAGGGTTCATGGGCCGCGACTGCCGTGACAGTGCGTGGGGGTGCCGCGGGGGCCGCGAGCTGGGGCTCCCCGTGGGGGGGCACATGCGGACACCCACGACGGAGAACCTTGAGGGCGGGGGCGGGCTTGCGAGTGTACCCCAGGAAGCGCGCCAGGAGCGGGCGGGGGCGGGAGAGGGCCCCGCCTTCCGGCGCCCCCACAATGGAGGCTCCTCCCTCTCTCCGTGGCAGGAACCCCCGAGGACTGTGAGTGCCACAACGGAGGCAGGTGCCTGGGGACCAACACCACCCTCTGCCAGTGCCCCCCCGGCTTCTTTGGGCTTCTCTGCGAATTTGGTAGGTGCCCTGCCCCGAGCATCCCCCGAACCCGAGTTTTAATGGCGGCTGCGGCCTGGACTGGGGTCCCCAGGTCCAGATCCTCCAGCGGTGGCCCCAGGAGGGGCTGGCCCAGAAGTGCCTGATCTGACTGCCCCGGCGCAGTCACTGGGTCTTGCGTAGCCAGACCCTGGTCCGGGACGTGTCCCCAGAAAGACGAGACAGGGCTCACCCTTTCCCCGCAGAAGTCACGGCCACACCCTGCAACGTGAACGCGCAGTGCCCCGACGGGGGCTACTGCATGGAGTACGGCGGGAGCTACCTCTGCGTCTGCCACACCGACCACAACGCCAGCCGCTGTGAGGGGGCGCGGGGGCGCGCCCGCGGGGCTGGGGGGCTGCCTGGAAACGGGGGGTGAAGGAAAGCAGGGGGGCACGGCAGGCCAGAGGCCGGGGCTTCCTGCGGTGGCTGCGCCCCTCCGAGCCGCCCTGGTGGTGCAGCCCAGGTCCTTGTCCCCCAACCTCGCCGCTGCGCCGGGTGCTGGGCGCCTGGGCCCCCGCCGGGCTGTCGGAAGTTAGCGCCTGCGCGGTTCCGCGTGTGGGGCCAACTCGCTGCTCCGTCCTTGCCCGTGTGCGTAATGACTCACGTAGTGTGTCGTTCCGTGTGCTGGGCTCTGCTGGTGGTGACGTGAAGACGTCGTGGACCACAGCTCCATCCAGCTCTCAGAAGAGGGAGGCTGGATTCTGGAAAATTCAGAAATAACAGAATTCCAGGGAGGGGCCTCAGAGCCCGCCGTGGTCAGGCCGGGGCAGAATGTATTTTAAGTGGCCCAGGTTCCTGCCGGGCGTCCAGGTGACCTGGCAGGCACGGCCCCTGCAGCCTCCTGTTCGGGGGTGACACTTGCTCCAGGGCCCCCTTTGCCCCCGCAGCGCTGCCCTCGCCCTGCGACTCGGACCCCTGCTTCAATGGAGGCTCCTGTGACGCCCACGACGACTCGTACACGTGCGAATGTCCCCGCGGGTTCCACGGCAGGCACTGCGAGCAAGGTCAGGCGCCCCTCCCCCACTGCGCGCCCTGTTCATCGGCCCCTTCTCCGGAGCCCGGCTTCGGGTGCCCGTGGCGCCGCTCTGTCCAGGGCCCTTCACAAAGGCGTCCCAAAGGGGAGCATGGGGGACACAGGGTGGCTGCTCTCAGGGGCGGGTGGCCGGAACTCCGACAACAGCCTATGAGGCGCCCTGCAGCGGGGTGGCGGGGGGCATGGGGCTGAGCTCGGCAGGCAGCGCCCCTTCTCTCCACCCCCCCCACCCCACACACCCCTAAGCACATGAAGGAGGCCGAGGCTCTGTCACCGGGTGTGATTCCTCAGGCCGGGGGACAGCAGTGCCCCTGATCCACACCTTCACCTGTGGGGACGCCCGACCCAGGCCCAGGCACCGGAGCTGCTCAGCGGCCGGGAGGACGCGCCTGCGCCGGCGCAGCCCGGGAAAGCACAGGGCGTCGCGGCCCCCACACACCCCTAAGCACATGAAGGAGGCCGAGGCTCTGTCACCGGGTGTGATTCCTCAGGCCGGGGGACAGCAGTGCCCCTGATCCACACCTTCACCTGTGGGGACGCCCGACCCAGGCCCAGGCACCGGAGCTGCTCAGCGGCCGGGAGGACGCGCCTGCGCCGGCGCAGCCCGGGAAAGCACAGGGCGTCGCGGCGGGCTGCGGAGCGTGGGGACCCCCCC